AAACGTTCCCCTCTACTGATTGACAGACAGCTTCTTCTTGGCAGCCACTAAGCTAACCTGCTCTCAAGTAAAATGGAGAAGCCTGCTTTATCATTACTGTTGAAGTACGATCAAATTGCCAATCTAGTTAGAGTCTTTAAGTTAGAAGGGAATGAAAGTGACATCTTGTTGACACTTGCTATATTTAGCCTCCTCCTCTGTTTTTATATTTATATCTTTTCCTATCTCCAAGGAACTCGTAAAGATTGCCCACCTCAAACATAACCCCAGCTCTGTGAAATGAGTTACACTGAGTGTCAATGACTTCTCCAATGCCATTTAAATGAGGTTCATAGCTGAGTTCAGACTCAGGTGCGCTCGGATGGCCCTTGACATTTTGCTACCTGAGAAAAAGAACAAGATGGTGCCACTGGCTATTTTATTTACAGAAGCTAACCAGACAAACTGTTTTTAAAAATTTCATTACTGACAATACATTCATTGTCGATAAGCATTCACAACTTCAAGTCCACCCCATTTTATCTAACAACTTGTCTGGCTTTGAAGTTTTGCATGAAAAGGCCTCACGTAGGTCAAATTATGGACATATAACTGACCAGCAAATTTAGAAGCTTTACATTTTGTAGTAGAGCTACAATGCTTCACTCAGTCCCAGGATGGATCCATGGTATTTCCAAGTGAGGTTGGGAAAGGTGATTATTTGAAACCCAGGAGAGCTACTGTCAGCATCAAATTGCCACTACTAAGCCAGAGCAATCGAGGGTCTGACTTCGTATATGGCAACTTCCTACACTCCTATCCTATCACTGTGGAAGAATGTGCGGATCAAGAATAGGTCTCCACAATCACCTATGTATCCACTGCCAAGACACTACACTTGGAAGGCCATCATACTCAGACAATGAGCGATCACCTAAGTAAGTAAAGTAAGTATCCTAGATTACTCTTTTGTCATATGACTCTTTCCTGCTACTATCTTGTCAGAAAGCACAAAGTATCACATATTGTATACTGGCTTGAGAACCGAATGAGCATTCCTCAATGACACAAATTGATGCATACAAAATGTGACATAGGCCAATGAACATAGAGTATGAATAGCAAAAACAAGTCTGGGCTTGCGGCATTGCTTTATCACACTAAGCTGGAATAAATGGGTGGGTGGATATCATGCTTTCAGATTATATTTCATATTATATTATATAACATCACCCACACTTCCCAAAGCTGCATACTGCCCTCTATTTAAAGAAGTTGCCATTAGCTACACTCTTGTCTGCATGAAACTGGCACTGTCCTGTCCATATATAACTGCTACACGGAGCAGCCGTTTAATTATGGTACTTTACTTCAGATAGTAAGAATGGCATAGGTTTGATCTTCACACTACTTCTGAGTCAAGAGAGTTTGCAATCCATCCAGTTTAGCATCATGGATAGAGAATGTTGGATGGGAGATATTTTGATGTTCACTAAGCTCTGAAATAATCTGGGTTCCCTTGTCTACCTTGTAAATCTCTCAGCCCAAGTTACCTTATAGAATAGTTGTGATGATATAGTGTGGCTATCCCAAGAAAAATAAGGTGCAGAATGCAAATATAAAAAGTTGTTGGATTCTCACATCTGCATGTACATTTTTGCACAAATCCACCTATGGTATACACCAATGTGAGAATGCAATAAGACAGGTTATACAAATACTTGTCTAGAAAAGTCTACACTATTCAATGAGCTACTTATTTTTGGCAGGCTGGAGTCACTTACAATTATAATAAAACAGGCAGTTGCTTCTCTTGAAACTGTGCAGGCGAGAAAAGCGACTAGGAAGTTACATTACTCTAGTGCAGGCAAGGCACAGAGCTGTGTGTGAGCGACTTTTCTGCCACTATATATCTGCCCTGTAGATGCACGGACACACTTATGCATGTGTATGTATGTGTGTGAAGGGTTTCTTTTTTAGGGAAAGAAACCAACCCAGCAGGATGTGTGTGGGGTCTGGGTGACTCCGTGCAGCCCCCAGATGTTTACAAGGCTCTCTCCTGGCTGCAACATGAGACCCTTCTGTGGGGAGAGGGGGGAAGAAGGGAAGACCTGATGGGATGCCACAAAGCTGCGCATGCTGAGAGGATCTGACAAGGCAGAACAGTCAGGTTCAAGACACAGACTTCAAGATGCTCAAGTGCTGGTGCTTAACAAGAAAAATGCTCAACAAGTGAAGGAAGGTCTAGGAAGTGTGAGCTGTCCAACTAAGGGGGCATCTAACACACTGCAGAATTAATGCAGTTTGGCACCACTTTAACTGCCATGGCTCCATGCTATCGAATCTGTAGATGTTTACAGGTGGGAAGAATTGTTACAAAGTGGAACTCTTAAGAAATGCCATTAGTCGGGCAGGGGAGACCTAGCAGGGCTGATGGGATTTTGGCTTGCATAAATAGGAGCCTAGTGCCTAGATCAGTGGTTCTTAACCAGTGGATTGCGGACCACCAGTGGGCTGCGAGAATGAAAATCTGGTCCACGAGCCTCCTTCCTCTTTATTTTATTTTATTTTATTTTACTTTTGCTCCTTTCGTGCCACCGGCCACTCCTTCCCTGTTGCTGACCATGGCATATGTTCTGGATCAGAAACTAGAGCTGATGCAATTTTCTGAAACAGCACCCCAAGCCAAATCTAAAGTTGACCAAAAACTGTATCGTAACCTTTTTGGTACTAATGTTTAAGGATGGTCCCTGGCAAAAGTGGTTCCTGGTAAATTGGTCCCTGGTCAAAACAAAAAAAAACAAAAGGTTGGAAACCATTGCTCTAGGTCCAGGGATGTCATGCTATTCCTCTATTCTGCCTTGGTGAAACCACACTTGGAATACTGTGTCCAATTCTGGGCACCACAATTGAAGGGAGATGTTGATAAGCTGAAATGTGCCCAGAGGAGGGCAACTAAAATTATCAAGGGTCCAGAAAACAAGCCCTATGAGGAGTGGCTTAAAGAGCTGGGCATGTTTAGCCTGCAGAAGAGAAGGCTGAGAGGAGACATGATGGCCATGTATAAATATGTAGGGGAAGTCATAGGGAGGAGGGAGCAAGCATGTTTTGGGCTGCCCTGGAGACTAGGATGCAGAACAATGGCTTCAAACTACAGGAGATTCCACCTGAACATAAGGAAGACCTTTCTGACTGTGAGAGCTGTTCAGCAATGGAACTCTCCGCCCCGGAGTGTGGTGGAGGCTCCTTCTTTGGAGGCTTTTAAGCAGAGGCTGGATGGCCATATATATATATGTGGGGGGGGGGAGGGGGATGCTTTGCATGCGCTTTTCCTGCTTCTTGGCAGGGAGTTGGACTGGATGGTCCACGAGGTCTCTTCCCACTCTGTGATTCTATGATACATCTCCTTCTCCCTCATTTTGTCAAACAGTCTCCTGAGTTTTGCAAGACTGTTTGCTTGACGTTCAGCCTCCCACTTTCAAACTTTGAGTGAGGAGGGAGGGAGCAGCCCCGATCCCGACTTCAAGTCCTGAGCATGAAAGGGAGAGCAAAAACTTTGCGCCCCCAAAATCCGAAATGTAGCCAGCCACCTCCACCTTTCCGAACTCTTTTAGCCTAATTAGTGAGACGCACTCGAGGAAGAGGAGGAAAGGAAGGAGGAAAAACAAAAGCCCCGCTCTGAAAAGCCGGGGAAAGAACCTGGGAAAGAACCGCTTTTTCGCCTCTCCAATCCAACATCCAGGGATTCTAAAACATACTGATGGTTAGCTACTTCATCACACTAGAGAATGAATCCACTGTAAATCCTGTTGGTGCCTCCTGCAGAATTCTGGGGTTTGTAGTTTAGGGAGGAGCCTTTAACAGCCTCACTCAACTACAAACCCCACAACTCTGCAGGAGGCAGAAACCGGATTGAAAGTGGATTCATTCTCTAGTTGTGAAGGAAAGTCACGCCAAGAGAACGTCAGGCAGATGAAAACCAAAGGGCGAGGGGGACTCCCCAGTTCATCCTCCCTCAGATGCGGTTTCCCGATTCCAGGGAAAACACTCTGCACATGCTCGCGGATGGGTGGAGGAGGGGCGGGGTGGAACAGGTTCTTGGGCGCGGGGCCAGGAATTAGTGTGGGCAGCAGAATCAACGCAGCTCGACACTGGCTCAGTGCGCGCCTCCACAAACTACACATTCAAAGGATCAATCGAACAGGCATGAGCCAACTTGGGCCCTCCAGGTGTTTTGGACTTCGACTTCCATCATTCCTAACTGCCTCAGGCCCTTTCCTATTCCCCTCCAGGTATTTAGAGCCCTCCAGGTGTTTTGGACTTCGACTCCCACCATTCCTAACAGCCTCAGGTCCCTTCCTTTTCCACTCAAGGTACTTTGGGCCCGCCAGGTGTTTTGGACTTCAACTCCCACCATTCCTAACAGCCTCAAGTCCCTTCCTTTTCCACTCAAGGTATTTTGGGCCCTCCAGATGTTTTGGACTTCGACTCCCACCATTCCTAACAATCCCAGGCCCTTTCCTATTCCCCTCCAGGTATTTTGAGCCCTCCAGGTGTTTTGGACTTCGACTCCCACCATTCCTAACAGCCTCAGGCCCTTTCCTTTCCCCCTCAGCCGCTTAAGCGGTTAGGAATGGTGGGAGTCGAAGTCCAAAACACCTGGAGGGCCCAAGTTGGTCCATGCCTGTTCTATAGCATGGAGCCACGTCAGTGAAAGCGTGAATTCTGCGTGTAGATGCTGCCTTAGCTGGACAGCTCACGCTTGGGAGAAGAACCCGTTCCTCCTCCTCCTCCTCCTCCTCCTCCCCTCAAGGCGAGATCGCCGCTGAGCGCGTGCAAAGTGCCTCCCTCCTCCCTCGGAGGCGCGCAACACAACACAACAGGTGGAAACAGGGTCGAGGTGACACATTTCAAAAAGCGAAAACAATCCTTTTTCCCGCCAGCAACACAACAACAGGTGGAAAGGGAAAACAGTGGCGAGAGAGCCCACCATTCAAGAAGAACCCTCTTCGTGGACTTACTGTAGGGGCAGTTGTCCTTCTTGGTGCCGCTGACGTTGCCGTTCTTCTCGATGCGGAGGAAATACTTGTTGAAGCAGTAGAGCTTCCTCCAGCGGACGTCGCCCCGGAGGTGCTCATAGCTCCGCACGTGCCTCCCGGCGCTGGAAGAAGGAGAAGAGGAGGAGGAAGAGGAAGAGGAAGAGGAGGCGTTGTGCCTGCCTCCCGGGAGCAGCCTGTCATCCTCACGGCAAGGCAGCGCCCAGGACGAGGGCGGCATCACGCCCAGCACCATCGCCGCCCCGAAGAAGAGCAGCAGGAAGACTCCTCGGCCCCGACGGAAAGAAGCAGAGGAGGAAGGAGGAGGAGGAAGAGGAGGCAGGTGGGCGAAGGCGGCGGTGGCACCCTGGCTCAGTCTCCATCTGCACATTGTCCTGAAGCTCCGGGCGCGGGGCGACGCCTCACGGGAAGAAACATACTGGAAAGGGGCAGCCCGGGCCGAGGCGGAGGGACGGCGGAGGCAGCGCGGGGCCGCTCAGGGCCGGAGGGGACGAGGACGAGGCCCGGGCGGAGGCGGAGGTCTGGCCTGAAGAAAGGAGGGCGCCCACATCCATGCCTCAGCGCGGCCACGCAGCCGCTCCCTCCTCCTCTCCTCCTCCTCCTCGCCTTCTTCTTCTTCTAGGAGCCCCTTCCAAGCCTTCCAATCGGGCCAGTCTTGGCACTTCCCTCCAAGGAGACCCTTTCGCCTCTTCCTCCTGCCCCTCCGACAGGGACACCAGCCTGAGGCTTCCCTCCGGTCCTCCGAGCGCTTCTTCTCCCGCTCCTCCAAACGCGCAGGCAGAGCAAAAACCCAAACTTCTCGCAGAAGCGCTCACTCGCCTGCCGTCAAGCTTCAGCTTATTTCGCCTTTCCCCTTCTCCTGTTGTCCTCTTGCCCCATCTTTAAGGTACACAGCGCAAGGCCAGCCCGAGGGAGGAACCTGTGGGGAGAGAAAGAGAGGTGACAAGGCTCGCCAGGCACCCCAACGCCCCCGAGGTTCAAGCGCGGCGGTTTCTGCGTCCAGCCCTTAGGAGCAGGTTGGCGGGAGAGGGAGAGAGAGGGGGAGACAGAAAGAGAGGGAGGAAGGAAAGGGGAGGCCGGAGGAGGCGGCCGCCCCCAGCCCCTCCGCCCTGCCTTGGGACACTTGCCCCCTCCCTCCCTTACTGAAACGTCTCTCCCCCTCCCCACCCCGAGGCTTCTCTCTTAGCTCCTAGGTGTCCGAGAGAGAGATTCGAGAAGAGACCCCAGAAGGAAAGAAGGAAGCCCGCTGCGTCCCACCTTTCTCTCCCTCTCTTTCCCTCCCTCTCTCTTTGCAGCAGGTTGGGAGGAGAGGAGAGAAGAGACGTGCCTCTGGTGGTGAAGTTTTATTGGCCGGGGGTTCAAGCGGCGGTGGCGGGACGTCCGAAAGGCCGGGGCCGAGTGGCGCGGGTGGGAAAGAAGCGGGCGAAGGGCCGGCCCCCTCCGACGCCCTCCGCTTCGCCCTCCCGAAGAAGCAGCAGCAGCAGCAGCAGCAGCAGCAAGAGCCTCCCGCTAATTGCTCCTCAAGCCCTCCTTCTGGCCACCAGCATGGCTTGCAGACGCGGGCTTCCCTAATTTCCCTGTCTCCCAGGCTCAGCCAATCCCCTCTAGGCAGCCCCCCCCTCCTTCTTTTTAAAAGTTGTTTTCTAGAGAAGGATTTTTTATTTTATTTTTTTGGCAGGCAGCAGTTGAGAGCCACCTGGTGCTGGTTGCTTTGCTGACTCGCTCCCTCCAGTCGCCTCCTCCGCCTCCTCCTCCTCCTTCCTTGCTTGCTTCTCCCCTTGAAAGAAAAGGAAATAGGTCGGGAAGAGCTGGGAAGAAGGGCAAGGAGGCAGGCAGCGAAGCTCAGAGGAAGCGGGTCCCTATCTTGTTGTGGCCATGCCTCACCTAAGCATCTACAGAACAACTTCAACCATCACCCAAGTCAAAAAAGAAGCACCATTAAAGCCTTGGCAGACCGTGCAAAAAGAATCTGCGAACCCCTCCTCCTCCAAGATGAACTGAACCACCTCAACTGGGCTCTCCAGGCCAATGGAGACTCCACCTCAGACATCAAAAGAGCTGCAAGACCAAGAACAAGCCACGAGAGTAAAGATGAAGATCCACTGGGAGGAAAAGTGTTTTACATCTGTGATTTGATCAATTTCTGCTCCTCCAATATACTTAGAATCATCGAATCAGAGTTGGAAGAGACCTCATGGGCCATCCAGTCCAACCCCCTGCCAAGAAGCAGGAATATTGCATTCAAATCACCCCTGACAGATGGCCATCCAGCCTCTGCTTAAAAGCTTCCAAAAAAGGAGCCTCCACCACACTCCGGGGCAGAGAGTTCCACTGCTGAACGGCTCTCACAGTCAGGAAGTTCTTCCTAATGTTCAGATGGAATCTCCTCTCTTGTAGTTTGAAGCCATTGTTCCGCGTCCTAGTCTCCAAGGAAGCAGAAAACAAGCTTGCTCCCTCCTCTCTGTGGCTTCCTCTCACATATTTATACATGGCTATCATATCTCCTCTCAGCCTTCTCTTCTTCAGGCTAAACATGCCCAGTTCCCTAAACCGCTCCTCGTAGGGCTTGTTCTCCAGACCCTTGATCATTTTAGTCGCCCTCCTCTGGACACATTCCAGCTTGTCAATATCTCTCTCAAATTGTGGGTTTGGCCCGGTTCTATCATTGGTGGGGTTCAGAATGCTCTTTGATTGTAGGTGAACTATAAATCCCAGCAACTACAACTCCCAAATGTCAAGGTCTATTTTCCCCACACTCCACCAGTATTCACATTTGGGCATATTGAGTATTTGTGCCAAGTTTGGTCCAGATCCGTCATTGTTTGAGTCCACAGTGCTCTCTGGATGTAAGTTAACTACAACTCCAAAACTCAAGGTCAATCCCACCAAACCCTTCCAGTATTTTTTCTTGGTCAGGGGAGTTCTGTGTGCCAAGTTTGGTTCAATTCTATCATCGGTGGAGTTCAGAATGCTCTTTGATTGTAGGTGAACTATAAATCCCAGCAACTACAACTCTCAAATGTCAAAATCAACCCCCCCCCAATCCTACTCGTATTCAAATTTGTGTGTCGGGTATTTGTGCCAAATTTGGTCCAGTGAATAAAAATACATTCTGCATACCAGATATTTACATTACAATTCATAACAGTACCAAAATTACAGTTAGGAAGTAGCAACAAAATAATGTCATGGTTGGGGGTCACCACAACATGAGGAACTGTATCAAGGGGTCATGGCATTAGGAAAGTTGAGAAACACTGTGCAAGACCAAAACCAAGCCAGAAGAGTAAAGACAAGACTCACCCAGAGGAAAAATATTCTTAACATACATCAAGGGATCCACGCACAGGGAAGCTGATGAAGAAATACAACCTACAAACTATCTACAGACCCACTAAGAAAATCCAATAAATGCTATGTTCAGCAAAGGACAAGAGGGATCCTTTCAACTCTGTAGGAGTCTACCGTATACCACACAGCTGTGGACAAGTCTACATAGGGACCACCAAATGCAGCATTGCCCAAACACAAATCAAGGAACATGAAAGGCACTGCAGACTACTTCAACCAGAGAAGTCAGCCATAGCAGAGCACCTGATGAACCAACCTGGACATAGCATATTATTTGACAACACAGAAATGATGAAACACTCTAACAACCACATGTCAGAGAAGCCATTGAAATCCACGAGCATGTGGAGAATTTCAACAGAAAGGAGGAAACCATGAAAATGAACAAAATCTGGCTACCAGTATTTTTAAAAACTCTAAAATTAGGACAGTAAATAAAGAACAACACTCTGAAAATAGGGGGATTCCAGACATGAATCAAACATCTTCCAACAAAGGATTCCCCTAGGCAGGAAGCAGCCGGGCCTTGAAGTTGCAAGGCTTTGCAATGCTAATCAAGGTGATTAATTGCAACATTCACACTTGCATCCAACAGACAAGAGTTCTTTCTCCCACCCTGGACCTTCGACAGATATATAAACCTCCCTTGGTTTATATGTGAATATATATTTACACATGTAGTAGACTTACAGATAATTGGCAACCATGGAGATTGGTAGATGTGGATAAATGCAGTTTCTGGTTGCTTGAGAGTTACTATGAAAACAGGCCTAAGACTATTCCATACTCTAAACCAGACATGGGCAAACTTGGGCCCTCCAGGTGTTTTGAACTCCAACTCCCACAATTCCTAATAGCCCCTGGCCCTTTCCTTTCCCCCTTAAGTGTCTGAGGGGGAAAAGGAAGGGGACTGAGGCTGTCAGGAATTGTGGGAGTTGAGGTCCAAAATACCTGGAGCACCGGAAGGGGACTGAGGCTGTCAGGAATTGTGGGAGTTGAGGTCCAAAATACCTAGAGCACCCAAGTTTGTCCATGCCTCCTATAAACTCTGTATTGACTTGATATAAATATTTAACTACAGCAATTAAAAGCAAATGAAGACAAAAACACAAACTTAACTCACTGTAACACAGTTTGACTGCGTTATAAAAACAACTTTGTGAATGCTGCATTATTTCTTTGAATTTTGGGTCAGTTGCTTGAGAGTTCTGGTTGCTCACATTCTGGTTAACTGAGAATTTACTGCAGCGTTAAACTTGGTGGTTGGGACCCCTGGGAGGGGTCACAAGGGGGGTATCAGAGAGGTTGCCAAAGACTATCAGAAAACGCAGTATTTTCTAATGGTCATTGGGGTTCTTTGTGAGATGTTTGGACCAATTCTATTGTTGGTGGGATTCCGAATGCTCTTTGATTGTAGGTGAACTCTACATTCCAGCAAATACAACTCCCAAATGTCAAGGTCTATTTTCCTCAAAATCCACCAGTCTTCACATTTGGGCATACTGAGTATCTGTGCCAAGTTTGGTCCAGATCCATCATTGTTTGAGTCCACAGTGCTGTCTGGAGGTAGGTGACCTATAACCACAAAACTGTCCACCAAACCCTTCTAGTATTTTCTGTTGGTCATGGGAGTTCTGTGTTCCAAGATTGGTTCAATTCCATTGTAGGTGGAGTTCAGGCTGCTCTTTGATTGTAGGTTAACTATAAATCCCAGCAACTACAACTCTTAAATGACAAAATAATCCCCCCCTCCAAACCCTACTAGTTTTCAAATTTGGGCATATCAGGAATTTGTGCCAAATTTGGTCCAGTGAATGAAAATACATCCTGCATATCAGATATTTACATTACAATTCATAACAGTAGCAAAATTACAGATACGAAGTAGCAACAAAAATTAGTTTATAATTGGGAGTCACCACAACATGAGGAATTACATTAAGAGGTCATGACATTAGGAAGGTTGGGAACCACTGGTCTACTGGATATAGAAAAAATGCTACTAGGCTAAGATTATGTACATGGTTATAGATAGGCAGGCATAACTTATGCAGCAAGCAATTTTAGCAAGCGTGAGCTTTCTCAGGGCATGGTGTGCCAAGTTCAGTCTTACATTTCTGCTAAAAATTGATTTCAATTTTTTATTTAATTTTTTTTGAATACTTGAGTTTCAGTTAACTGAGAATTTAAATACACATACACACACACACATGTTCTCCACCCCACAGGCACTTGCACAAACACATTCACACATACACATTGTGTGTTTGTGTGAGCCTATGTACATGGCTTCCCTTCCTCCTGCTGACTTCCATGGAGGTCTCCTGTGCCGTCTCTAGTCCCTCTCACATCTTTTTCTCTCTCCTCCCCCCCTTATTTTTAAGGAATCAATCAATGATTTTTGCCTTCCTGCTGAAATAAGTTCTGGGCTGGAGGGGAGAGAGAGAACAACACTTTTTAAGCACACTCTTCCTTTTGCCGCTTCTCAAGATTTATCGCTCCCAACTCCTCCTGGAATAAGGTCCCCTTAAACGGCCAATTTCTAATTGCTAACATTACTCAACTTAG